TACCATGGTCGCCACCGTAGCCAGGAATAGCGGGGCCGCCGGGGAGTGGGGACCGTCTCTTTGTTACATTAACACATTTTTAAATCCAGATTACAGTTTGTTCATTTTATTTCTCCTTCGTGAGCTCGTAATAAGCCGGACTAGGACTAAGCTTTTATTTTTATTTTTTTTCTTAAAAAACGTTACCCCCACACTAGAATTTTCTTCTGTATTGTGGAGGCAGTTTACAAACATAAATTGCATAAGGACAAACATCCAAACCCGCAACAATTATTTGTAGGCCATACAAATACTTATTCCGTGCGGGATTTGAACCCGCGGCCCCCAGCGCAGTAACTCATTGCTAAGCCACTGCACCACGGAGCTTTGCAGGCAGATAGGCGAAAGCAGTACCAAAAAATCTAGCTCCTTCGATGCTGTTTTCATTAGTGGTCTAGGAATTGATATGTAACATGTACGATACATATGAATTCCTAAACCATGGCATACTGCCATTTATCGCAAGCCATGAGGATATTCTATTAATTTTCATAATGACCTCTTGCGCCTCGCTCGCTAGTACTATTACTACTTCTACAGCCTATCACAAGTCCACTGCTGAACATCGCCTCCCCTATAGATCGACACAAAGTACGGTCCAAAGACACCAGCATATATTGACTGCCCGGGTGTCTCTTCAGGTCGTTACTCCATCTAATGGGGGTTCCGAGGAAGGTTCCGGTGAAGGAAACATCACGAGGAAATCTGCATGTCTGAGAAATCAGAAAAAAAAAATATTTCAAAGACATGTGAAGTTCGCCAAAACGCATTAGGGCAGCGCGGCGAACATTTCCTTGTCCTGAAACCCTCTCAGAAATTAGAGGAGGCCTATACCCGGCACTGGGACCTATATAGGCTGCAACTTTAATACAATTAAGATACGAAAATACTCACGTCTCCTAGGTTTGCATACAACGGACTTGCTGGCGTCACTCGGCTCTCCGGGGCCGGCTTCGTTCACGGCCTTAACTCTGAACTCGTACTCTACACCTTCGTCAAGGTTTGGAACAGTTGCTTTTTCATTGTCGTTGGGTCCCACCTGAATGTGAATAACCCTTGTTTATAATATCTTTGTTTTTATAATAAATTATAATTTGTTCAACACATAGATATTTTACAATATTAGACATAAAAAATATAATATTATTTGTAATATTCGTGATATCGTAACATAGTCTGTGGTCAAACATTTATAGTCTATGAATAAAAATTATATACTCAGTTGGAAACTCTGAAACTATAAAAGCAGTGGACATTAAATCACAAATGAAGTAGTAGAATAGTCTATAGTAATCTTAAGCCTATAGGATATGTACATCAAAGTCTTACCTCACAGGCTTTAACCCATTTCGGCGAGCCAACTTCCCTCTTCTCGATAATGTAGCCAGTGATGGGAGCGCCACCATCTTTGAACGGCTTCTGCCATTTGAGGTCCACGTGGTCCTTGTCCCAGTCCAGTACTTCTGGAGTGCCTGGTTTCCCAGGCTCGTCTAATGACAACAAAAATTCGTCAGTCAATTGCATGTATAAAAACAATTATATGTACAACAAGCAATGACATAATATATATTTATGTCTCTCTTTGAATGGTAATTTTTTTATAGAATAACTGTGACATAGAACTCAGTCCACCTGATGTTAAGTGGATGCTGTGACCCGCATAGACTTCTACATTTATCCTCAATTAAGAATCACACAGATGCGTTGTCACCCCTATGAAATAATATGGGACGGCTCGTTTCCAGTGAAAAGGGTTTTCGGTTCAACACACAGTCAACATACAAAACATGTTGCTATTTTACCCTGGTATTCTGTGAGAGCGTGGTCGTAATCCGGTTAAGCCAACCCATTCGTGTCACAACCATAATATAGCTGCAGCGTGTAATAAAATAGAACTGCAACTTCAGGTAAATAGTGAAGAAACGTAGTGTGTTGTTTAAATATGATAAACTGCAGTAGCGTAGTGGCGACATAAAGAGGAGCCACTATCCCATATAATACTGAGGGTAATATAATATAAGAGTCGACTGAGAGAAACTGAAACAGCAGCTTCTTCCTGATAATAACTCAATAATGTAATAATAATTAAAGAAATGTAATTGCCAACCCGCCTGCCAAGTGTGGCAATCTATCAGGAGTGGCCATTGTTCAGCACTGGACTTATAATGGGCTGTAACGATGACGATGATGATGGTGATAAACTGCTTGAAATTATCTCACAGACAATATTTTAATTTCGTATCTAAATAGAAAATTACAATTCTTTTAGCAGACATTTTAAGCGATAGTTTTAAATTTACAAAAATATGTCTCACCAAACGGATTCTTAGCGATGATAGAGTGCTCGCCCTCCAACGGCTCAGAAACACCTTCATTGTTGACAGCAGAAACCCTAAACTTATACTCGTGTCCGGGGACTAAGTTCTCAACTTCTGCCTTTGGATCCTTGGTCTTCATAGCGGGAACCCAGCGGCCGGTTTCCGTATCCAATTTTTCGACTAAGTAGTGATCGATGGGGGCGCCACCGTCGTCCAATGGAGCGTTCCATTTGAGTGTGCAGCCCTCTTTATGTACGTCCGAGATCTGCCAAATTTTCAACTCAGTATAACAAATCAGTATTAAAATCAGTATTAAAATCAGTATAACAAATATATTTTTAAATGTTTTAATAGAAAATGTTCAATGATTAAGCTAAGAGGTAATAGTATAGTAATATTCATGAGTAATATTATTTAACGGTATGACAAAAAATATCTATCAAAGCCAGAAATCCGATCTAAGTATAAAATTTGTTTTATTCAAATGAAGTTGTTTTATTCAAGTGATAATAAAAATTATACAATATACCTGCCATTACTTTAGTAAGTAAATAGAATGTAATTTTTATTGAATATTCGGCAATCGGCATGACCGTGATGTTTATTACGCGAGAGCTGGGAATACGCAATTACATACTGCAACAGCATTAGAAGGCTTTTAATAATGCATTTCTGTTCACTTTCTTAGAAACGCCTAAGTCATAATTGTGATACAACTAATGATGGAAGCAGCATTTAATACACTACTAGCATGGACCTAGAAAAAAGGGCGAACAGAGTCTCGCTAAGAAACAATTAAAACACCGCAATGGCGGCATTGAGTTATATGTACTACGTACTAGAGGAGACGCCTGAACTCGATTGTTTGTAACATGAGTTAGAGTGCGCGCTCCCCAACTCACTTAGTCTGTGTCAAGCGGTTGCTGGAACTTGAGACGTTTGAGTGAAGAATTTTTTTTAATTAATTATGCATTCATAAGCATTGGTATACTGTTCAAACAACTCGAGAAACATAAGTAAAAGTCAAGGAGTGACTTTTCACCGGTAAGTTCAACATATTATTATCTTTAAAACACGTTTAATTTAATTATATTTTATCAACTGCAACGTATACGTGAATGTCAAAGATTAAAACATTTTTATGCGCAGACATGACACTATCGACGTATAATGTTAAGTAAATATGACCAGTAAAATATTAATATATAATTACGGTAGGAAATGTTACTGCATTAAAATTAATATTTTCTCAACCGTGTCATGAAACAAAAGAATCATGGATCAAATTTGTTCAGACGAATTGCAGCGAAGAAACGTGGTTACCGTCAAATTATTCAAGTATATGTTCCGTGCATTTAAAAGATAACTACAAATACACCACAAAAACAGGAAGAGTGTACTTAAAGAAATCTGCAGTACCATCATCATCATCATAATCATTATTACAGCCCTTCACAAGTCCACTGATGAACATAGGCCTACCCCAAAGAATGCCGCAAAGCACGATCCCGAGCCACCTGAATCCATTCACTTCTTGCATGACTAGATCGTCACTCCATCTGGTGGGGGGACGCCCTACACTTCGCCTGCCGGTACGAGGCTGCCAGTCGAGAACCTTTCTTCCTGTTTCTTCCCCATCGGTTGTCGATTCTTCCAGCCATATGGCCGGCCCATTGCCACTTCACCATACTAATTCTTTGGGATATGTCAGTTACTCTGGTTCTACTGCGGATATATGATAACGAAATTATATTATTTATATATATGAACGATTTTTTTGTAATGTTCAGTATATTTACGAGACTTAAGAAAGGCGGAACCTTCGGCGCGCGAGTCATACTAGTATATGGCCCTTTATTAATATTGTAACGCTATAATTTTTACAGGCTTCCCAAATAACTAGTATATTTTTATGATTTTTAATGAAAAAGAATAAACAGAGCACGCATTATTTATTATATACTGCATGCAACTTTAATTATTCTCCAGCTGCGTATAAATACGTTAGTGAATGCTAGAAAAGTAATAATAATGGTCTTCGATAATAAATGTATATTTTTATATTTTACATATTTACTTTTTAAAATAAAATACCATTAAAATGTAATTCTGACATAATATATGTTATATTATGTTAAATTAACACATATGCAAAATAAATAACAATTAAAAAAATTGTACTCGATATAATTAACAATACAATCTAAATAAACAATTACTTATTACATACTCATCATTCTACCTACGTATAATCTATGATGACAAAAACTGCGCATGCGCGATTCTACTATCCCCCGCGCATGCGCGAAGACATAGGGTAGCGCACATTTTTTGTTTGGTGTAGCTTCTCTAGTACGTAGTACATATAACTCAATGAATGGCGGCCGCGTAACTGTGTGAGCGTGTAGAGGGTTGCCAGATGGAGGAAAATTACCCATTTTTAAAAGCAAAAAATTTCAATTAAGCTTAAGACATTCGTCACCGTCCTCGGAACCAGGATTTTAAGTTTAATAAAACAAAATTGTGATGAAACACATTGAATATAAAAATATTTACATTTATTAATATTATAATTAACTTACATTTATTTACGGTTTCTTAGAGCCCCTTTTGTTGGGTAATTTTTTTATAATATTGTCTTTTACTGTCAAAAGATTTAGAAATTCCCTCCAATTTAGCTATATGGTGAAATCAAATATTCTGATATTTTTCGGCTATATATTAAATGAGAGCTATTTTATGTTCTACTCCAGCAAATGCATGGTCTAATTCTATTTAAAAAATTCCTGTCGTTAGCTATTAATTTTTCCAGAATTTTGATTAGCATGTACTGATGTTACCTTTCGGTATATATAGTTATATTATCTCTTAAAAGCTTTCGGATCAGCATCTCGCAAGTACAACAAATGCGTATAAATCTTTTGATGGATAACGAAAGCCTACTCTACTTACTTACCTATGAAAAATGATCCCTTGGCTTTTTTAATGGAACCACTATGGTTTCGACAGGTTTTCACTACACAAGACGGCATCTTTCAACACATAACATTAAGCGGGCTCGGTTTGGAGCGTAATGGCGGGCGGTAGATTTATTATGGTGTACATGTGTGCATGCCGGCTTGTTTGTATTAGCGAGCTGACTTATTCTGGGTGCGTCAGTAATTGTTTTAAGAGACTGCGTCCTTTTTTCTAGGTCTATAACTACTAGCGCTAAACTGTCGAACGTGGGTATTAACAATCGAGACTGTAAAGGCTCGTTCAGCAAAGAACTGTTTATAATGATTACATAATTGAACAATGATTTTGGCAATCGGCCAATTTTGGTGAGATTTTAGAGATTAATTTCTTTAACCAATTACATAATATACATAAAAGTTGTATGGTGCTTGCACCAATCCTTGACTGCTGAAAGATCAACAAGCCAATCGAGTAGCGAGATTAGTTTCGCCGCCCCTGTGCCTTTTACCTCCTAAACCCAACCCCAAAACAAGTCTGTACACGTGCCTTGCTCATAATTTGCATATTCGCTATATATAGCTATTGTATTTTTCTAAATGGAGACGCACCTTGAGTGGTCCTTCAGGCTTAGCCGGTACATCGAGCACCTTGACCTCGATAGAGGCTTCGTCTCTGCCGCTGCTGTTCTCTGCTTTGAGAACGTAAGTGCCGCTGTGCTTGCGAGACGCAACGACCACTGATAGCTTGATACGGTAATCCTCGGTGTCTATGGACAGATCGTCGCGCGTCGAAAGACGCTCCTTGTTTTGGAACCTGCGAAGAAGTGAACAAATGAAATGAACGAATGAAAATGAACTTAAAAGATATGTGTTGTGTAGATTTCTACCAGGACGACTTCTGAATATCGTTGAAAGTTATAAACTGAGCTAGTATTCAATAGTCGTCTTTTACACGTGTTTGATCTGGTGTATTTAAACAACATAGAATATAATATAGTAAAGTAAAGTTACAGCCTATATACGTCCCACTGCTGGGCACAGGCCTCCTTTCATTTCTGAGAGGGTTTTTAGGTCAAGGAACTGTCCGCCGCGCTGCGCCAATGCGTGTTGGTGTGAATATAATATGGTAGGATATAATGCCAGGTACAGCAGAAACACAATCGAATCCGAAAACTCAAAATTTGTAGCACATTTTGTTCAGTGGTATAGCAAACTTGTAACTATATCATGGCTTCAGCAAGAATAAGGCGGCTTGACCGAGGAAGGACCAAGCTCTCACAGAAAGCCAGCGTAAATTAGCATTGTGTTTCGTATAGTGATATAGTGAGTAAAGATAACCGAATACCCTTTTTACTGGTGACGAGGCATCTTAGTCTCCAGGGCTAACAACGCGTCTGAATTTTCTTTCATAATTGATGATAGGTAAAGATGTTTGTGGACCACAGTATCCATTTACCAAATGATGGGCTGTGCGCTTGCTTAGTCACCCTTAGTTTTAATTTTAAAATGTAGGTTCCAGGCTACCGTATACGGGTTCTAAGTAAGTAATTAAGTTTACAAAACATGGCATTGAAAACAATACTTACCAGGTCTTAGACGGTGGAGGCTCACCGCTGACCTTAACGTCCAGTCTGATCATCTGTCCTGCCTTGATGGTGATGTCGCGCAAGTTCGTACGGTCGATCTTAGGTGGCGCTGGAAACAATAATTATTTATTACATCAATTTTGAATAAATTAAAGCAATATGGAATATGTCGACCTTTTCTCATTCAATTGCCATGCCTTTCTTAAAAGTGTCGTCTAAATAATCACCACGCCATTAGATACTCTCGCACTATTATTGCTAATTTAGTGCTTAGTGCATAATATATTTCTAATAAAGAGAAGATAGTAAATTTACACACACACACACACACACACACACACACACACAGAGAGAGAGAGAGAGAGAGAGAGAGAGAGAGAGAGAGAGAGAGAGAGACAGATCAGGCGCAGAATCAAAATCTTTAGGTGCTTTTCGTGGCACACGGGTGAAGCACTGCGAATTTCTTGACAAAAAATCCAATAACTGATTTTTAGTCCGATCTGAAATTCGAACCCGGAACTGCATGTTCAATAGTCATACTTACGACCACTAAACCTACAAGGCAGTTAGAAATCAATAGCGTAATGACATAAAATAAATACCGATATGTCATAATGATCATCATAAAATATGATTATTAATAATTATTGCCACCAAGCTACGTGCGAGTACAGTTTAAACTCTTCATATTATAATTTATATTGAGACTAATTTTATGGCAAAAAATGTAAGTGACGTTTTGTTAATGGAAAATTTATATCAAGTTTAAATCAAAGATGTAAAACTGCATATTAAAATATGCTATTTAATTTATTTACAAGTTTTAAGAAACCAATTACCATTGAAGACGCTATATATTCGCTAAAGGAAAGTAATATAAGCTCATAGCTTCAAAACGTCCCGCTCTTAGGCATAGGCCTTACTATGGTCAATAAAACAAAACTACTAATTTAGTCTACACAAGTGGTAATATTTAAAAAAATATTTACAACCGACTTCAATATTAATAAAATGAGAACATCATCAATGTAGTCGAAGTCAATTAAATACGCATTATTAAGGATAACTCAAAAACTACTGGTCAGATCTTGATCATATTTATATAGGGCCACACGAGAAGCACCAGCTTTCAAATAAAATAGAATCATCAAAATTGGTTTTTCTAGAAAAAGTTCTCAGGTAACGCAAATACAGTCGAATTGAGAACCTCCTTCTTTTTTGAAGTCGGTTTAATGACGATTACGGTATCTAGGCTTATATTAAAATGATATATACAAAAATCACATACAATCCCTTAAATTTATTTAAAATTATTTAGATATCTGTGTGTTGTAACTTACCAAACCTATCCTTAGCGAGAAGGTTGTCTGTGGCCTGGGAAGGTTTGCCCGGGCCAGCTTTGTTGACAGCCTTCACACGGAATTGATATGTTTTGCCTTCAATCAAATCCGGAACACGGGCTTCAGTCTTATTACCAGGAACCTGGAAAAATAGACAAATTTTATAAAATCTTGTGTAATAATAAAATCTTTGCGGTCACAAGGGCCACTTTCACTCAACTGGAATAAGCCTTTTAACGTCTTTTATCATCTCACCAATATATACATTAAAAAAACCGGCCAAGTGCGAGTCGGACTCGCGCACCGAGGGTTCCGAACAAATCCGTAGGTATATAAGTTTAAAATTATTAAAAATATTTTTATTATATGATGTAACCCAAAGTTTTTGCTTTTTGCAATTTTTCCTTTATCTGTACTATAAAACGTTGCTTCGTACCAAATTTCAAGATTCTGAGTTCACGGGAAGTACCCTATAGGTTTTGATTCCCTTGCGAATGTCGAAAATTTGCGGCATAAACGGTTGATTGAGTTGACTTAGAAGTTTGATTTTTTCACAGCTCCAAGGAACAGTAGATTTGAGTATTTGATATGAATTTCAGCTTGATACCTCCACGCGTGCCTGAGAAAAAGGGTCTTGACAGACAGACAGACAGACGGACAACAAAGTGATCCTATAAGGGTTCCGTTTTTTCCTTTTGAGGTACGGAACCCTAAAAACTATCTATTAAATATATCTATTGAAGACTGCCATAGAATGTAACTAACCTCAACAGCTTTCACCCACTTGCCGGTGTCGCGGTCCTTCTTCTCGACGATGTACGCGGTGATGGGGGCGCCACCGTCGTTGGTGGGCTTCTCCCATTTAAGATCCACGTGCTCTTTGTCCCAGTCCTTGAATTCGGGCTTGCCTGGCGCATCGGGCTCACCTAGTGACGACGATAAAATAATATTAAATTGATCATCATTCATCATTACAGCCCTTCACAAGTCCACTACTGAATAAAGGCCTCCCCCAAGGAATGCCACAAAGGACGGTCTTGAGCCACCTGCATCCATCGACTGGCATGATTTACCAGGTCGTCAGTCCATCTAGTGGGAGTTGCCCTGTACTTCGCCTACCGGTACGAGGCTGCCACTCGAGAACCTTTCTTCCCCATCGGTTGTCGGTTCTTCGAGCTATATGGCCAGCCCATTGCCACTTCATCTTACTAATGCGTTGGGCTATATCGGTCACTCTGGTTCTACTGCGAATATCCTCATTTTTAACTTTATCACGCATAGAAACCCCGAGCATAGCCCTCTCCATAGCTCACTGAGCGACCTTGAGCTTCCTCCTAACCGCCAGCAGTGAAGGACCTCGTCTCAGATCCATAGGTCATCACTGGCAACATTAAATTGATGCCAAAAGATAATATATATCTACTTTGACTTCTTAATCCCACTTTTTGCGATTCAATCCTAAAAATTTGTACGTTTCCATATTTAACACTCGTAGGTAAAATGAATAAGTAGCAAACTATCTAGATCTACTAACTTGAAACTAAACTGATCGCGATTTTTATTTATAAACATCGTCATAATTTATAAAGATTTCAGTCGTTAAATCGCTTTAAATCTACCGAGTATATCATTCATTCAGTTTCAATCTGTTCACTCACCGTATGGATTCTTAGCGGTAGTCGCCGTTTCAGTCACGAGCGGCTCACTCTCTCCCTCTGGGTTAACAGCCTTGACCCTGAACATGTAGTCCTTGCCCTCATTGAGCCCAGTTACATCAGCCTCTGGGGTCTTTGTGGTGCAAACTGGGACCCATCTTCCAGAATCAGTGTCCATTCGTTCAACAACGTAACTTTCGACCGGTTCGCCACCGTCGTCTTCTGGTGGCTCCCATTTCAGCTTGCAGCCGTCTGCTTTAACGTCCGAGACCTTGAAAGATGTAATAAGTGCATATATGTAGTAGGTATACATTTAATAATTCATTGAAATTGTTGATTTCACACTTAAAATAAGTTTTCATTTTCTAAAATTATTTTTACAAAGTATAAATAATTTTGGATGCTTTCATAATATTATAAAAAAGTTAAAGTAACAACCTATCTACATGCCACTGCTGACTGCATTCTCATATTACCGTGAGAGTTTTAGGGAAAGGTCGATACGTATACGGGTATATGTTGACAGACTTCACATGGCCTCGAAATTAAAGTAACATGTTTTGATTTTGATGAATTAAATTATCAACTACCATAATATATCATCATCATTACAGCCCTTCACAAGTTCACTGCTGAACATAGGCCTCCCCCAAGGAATGCCACTAAGGACGGTCTTGAGACACCTGTATCCATCGACTTCCTACATGTGTTACCAGATCGTTACTCCATCTGGTGGGGGATTGCCCTACACTTCGTTTACCGGCGCGTCACTTGATAACCTTTCCTCCCCATCGGTTGCTTGTTCTTTGAGCTATATGGCCGGCCCATTGCCACTTTAGCTTACTAATTCGTTGCGCTACGTCGGTCACTCTGGTTCTACTGCGGATATCCTCATTCCTAAGTTTATCACGCAGAGGAACTCCGAGCACAGCCCTCTCCATAGCTCGCTGAGCGACTTTGAGCGTCCTCATAAAGCCAGCAGTGAAGGGTCAGGTCTCAGATCCATAAGTTATCACTGGCAACACGCACTGGTTTTACAACCTCGTTTTCAGGTTTTGAGGTATAACTGACAAGAAGAAGATGTGTCGTAATTTCCCGAACGCTGCCCACCCGAGTTGAATCCGTCGATTGACTTCTCAGTCAAAGTTGAACTTACCTAGTCAGACTATTTGTCTCAGGTAAACATACTCGTCAACAACTTCGAGCTTAGTGCTCCCAACAACTACCGGCATCGGTGTTACATGGACATTACACATGATCTTAGCTTTGTCCTTGTTCATCTTAAGACCTAAGCACTCTCTATAATAAGCATACTTACATATTTATACATTATTATTATTATTATTATTATTATTATAACACGTGACTTACCTTCAATGGTCCCTTCGGTTTAGCAGGTTTACTGACAACTTGAACATCGATTTCGACGGTATCAGTTCCCGAGTCATTCTTAGCAGTTACCACGTACTTCCCAGTATCTGCTCTGGTTACTTTCGTCAGAGTAAACGAAGTGTGGTAGTCCTTGCTCTCAATCTTCAATCTCTCTTGTGTCTTGAGGGTCTGGTCGTTGAATGTCCATGTGATTGTAGGTTCAGGTTCACCCTTGATGTCTGCTTCCATCTTGAGCGTTTGACCAACCTTGATCTTCCTCTTTTGAAGGTATTTGCGATCGATATGTGGCGCGACTGTTGGTAAAAAATATTTGCAATTTTGAGTGCAAGAGCTTCAGGTTGTTGAATATATTTTAACTTAGAAATTGTTTAGATAGTATAGGATTCGCATTATATAAAGGTGGTTAAATACAGCCGTTAACTTAATATTTTAATATATACACTGTAGTCTCACGCCTACACGTTTACATATATATATATATGTTGAACCTGTACTTGGCGTGAGACACTACAGTGTCTCCGGATTTTGATTTAATTTGCAAACAAATTTCTTTTTAACATTAATATAAAGGTAAGCCGCATTTGACTTACACGATAGTACTTTATTACCATTCTAAATGTAATGTTTAATAAAATTGAACATTAAAATTAAAAAAAAAACAATCCTTATAACACTCTAATAACAATAAGATCGTGTCCGTTTAGGAATTTCGTTTCCATCTTATAATAATATAAAAGTTACTCACGGAATCTAGGCTTGGCAACAACAGAGCGGCTGGGCTCGGAAGGTTCTCCAGGGCCCGCCTTGTTTACCGCGATGACGCGGAACTCGTACTCGTGACCCTCTTCCACGTCGGTCACGCGACCCGTCGGCCGCTCGCCACTTGTCCGTAGGCAGTCTTGCCATGATCTAGGAACAGGAGCAGTCTTTTTTTATTCCTCATTGATAATACTCTCCTACCTGATTTCTGACTCAGATGCTATAAATTACGTGGGTGATAATATAGTGCAATAATAAGCACAGGGGTACAACTATCGTAACTTACCCGAAAAATTCGGTAAATGCTAAAATACGACAATTGGTGAATCAAAAGTGATATCATTCGTAACAAAGATATCTGTTACGAATGATATTGCATAATAATGTAAGCTGAAGTGGTCATACAGCTCGAAGAATTGACAACCGATGGAGAAAAAAGATTTTCGAATGGCAGCCACGTAGTAGCAAGCGCCATGTAGGGTGACCCTCACTAAATTGAATTACCATAATGAGACACTCCTGATGACATGCAAATGACACAGACTCGAACTTTGAGGTGATGACTTCAATAATTGATGATAATGATTAAAATGTAGTACCTTCCGCCCTTCTCGCGCTTCTGCACAATATAGCCGGTGATGGGCGCGCCGCCGTCGTCCTTGGGCGGCGACCACTCCAGCTCCACGAAGTCCTTGTCCCAGTTGCGCGGCTCTGGACGTCCAGGCTTACCGGGCTCATCTGCAAGCGTACGCGTCAAATTAGTAGATTAAAAGGTTGAGATACCTAAATATTATAATAATATCATTTTCAAACAAAATAATAACATAAATTAAAAATTTTTAAGACCCGCGAAACAAAATAAGAGAACAGACACATTTTCTTGAATCATAGCTAAGAGCACTCTTGATTCAAATGACCTTTCAATTAAAAAAAAAACTAAATTAAAATCGGTTCATCCGTTTGGGCGCTACGATGTGCAATCGTTGTATCGATAGACACACAGATACACAGGTTAAACTTTTAACACGAGGCGTGTTTGCGATGGGGGTTAAAACACTTAAGTATCTATCTGTTGTCCATAAACGAGATTTTTTTAAATACTTGTGCTAAAGATAAGAACGCGTGAGTGCATCTCAGCATATTAGTTTCTCATCTTGAATATGAACTTTGGCAAAGCAACTACTTATTTCATTGTTATTTAACTTTTACAATTATCTTTTCGAACAGGCTTTACTCTTTTCTGTCACGTATCACGAGAAACCAACTTTGTGATGTAAATTTTTAAATGTTAATGTAAATTTATAAGTTCTGTAAAACTGTTTATTACCGTTGAATCGTTTAAAAATGTTTTAATGGTATATAAAAGCAAAGTTAAATAATAGCATTAAATAATAGCACGAAATCATTTTTTTTAATTATTATTATTATCAATAATCTACGTTTAAAATGCATTGTCAATATATCAATAAAAAAATATTCGTTCGATTTCTCCTTGAATACACAACTTACCGAATGGATTCTTAGCGATAATCGGCTTCTCGGTCTCCAGTTCCTCAGACTCGCCTTCCTTGTTGACGGCCTTTACGCGGAACTTGTACGGCTTGCCCTCTTGCAGACCGGTCACGTTCGCCTTGCAGTCCTTAGCGGTGCCGCAAGGTAACCATTGTCCTGTGTGACGAGATGAAACCAAATAAATATAATTCTAAATAATTAAAATTATTTATTCTGGAGATCGAGTACTGTTAAATCGGAAGATCCACGCAGTTTCCGTGTGGGTTGAATTTGATATGCCATTACGCATTATGAGAAAATGTTTCAAAACATGATTTTGGTAAAAAAGCACAAATTGCAAACAAAAGTTTTCAGTAGCACCGAAAAATACTATCTAATTAATTTGTAAACCATAAAATTATTATCAGAAACAGAATAATTACTGAAAATAAAAACAAAACAAATTGTTTACAACAGTACAACTTAATTCCAATATTCATTTTAAAAATACAAAGAGGTTTCTAATGCTCTACGTACCAGTAAGTGGATCCAGCTTTTCAATTTCATAGTACTCAATGGGAGTCCCACCGTCGTCTTCTGGCTTGTCCCAAGTAAGAGTGCAGCTGTTCTTGGTCACATCCGATACTTCCAAAGGACCCTTGGGCTTAGAGGGTTTGCCTGAAATAATAAAACATGTTTTAGAATTTCTTTATTCTTTCTTATTCCTTACCAGCGTGTAACCTAATGACATTTCCTATATATCCTCCTATGACGAATAGAAATAGGGTGACGGATTATATTACACCGCTATCACCAGGTAATAAGAATAATAAGAAATAATAGCAAAAGGAAGTCATAAATATAAAAAATTTGACGAAAAAGTAAGGATTAGGTACGTTACAATTTTCGATTTGTAGTCAAGGACGCAAGATTCACGATCCCGAAGTGAGCCAATTAGTTTTTGCTAAAATTTTAATGATTTCAGCTACTAGAATTTTCTAAAGAAAAACAATTAAAATAAATACTCTTCGTTCACAAGACGAGAAAGAGTGTTTGAAATACGCTGCTAACTAACTATCTAACAAGTACAATATTTTTGGACTTTCTAAAGAACAATTCGTCATTAAGATTGGACAAAAAATCATCGCCAGTCCGCAAGCAACCATCACCAGCCCGTAAGCAGTCTATTGCTGGACACATTGTTCTTGTTTGAAAATAAAAACTACTTACCAAGTATAGTAATCTCGACTTCCGCCTCGTCCTCTCCAACCTCATTCTTGGCCTTGATTACATATTTTCCGCTGTTAGCCCTCTTGCTCTTCGTCATAAGGAACTTGGTGTTATAGTCCACGTTGATAATTTCCAAGTTGGGTCCGTTTTTCAGCTCTTCGCCCTTGAAGTGCCACGTAACAGTGGCTGGCGGCTCGCCGAAGACCTTTACGTCCAAAGATACCGGAAGACCGGCCTTCACCGTAATAGGGTTCAGGTTTGTGCGGTCGATGCGCGGCTTCACTGTTAAAAATTAAAAAAATTAAAGTAACCATTGGTCTGTTAGTGATCGCGTAACTTCTGAACGACTTGACTGATTTAGGTCATATTCACACAATATATGTCAGTATATATTTTGACCGAGGCGATCTTTCATAGCTATGCTAAGAGCTGATGAGGAGCGCTAAATGGAATAAGTAATAAATTTCGAATCAAAGTCGTCAGGCCACCTACCAGATAGGGCAGGACGACATCTGCCAGGTCAGCTAGCAGGCTTATAAATTACAAGTTTATATAAATTAAGTATGCAAAGATTATAGTTTTTTATAAGCTGTTATAAATATCTGAAAGTTATCAATTTTATAATAATATTATAGAGGTTAAGGAAATAACAGTCCGCCTTGTACTATACTAATACTCATGGACATCTGCAACGAAGAAGCACTGTTTCAACAAGTTTTGTAGCACAAATAAGACGGTGTTACGAAACCAAACTAAACAGAAAAGGAGCCCTATGTTCTTCGTAATAAAGTCCACTGTCGAAAATAAAGTTGGGTATGTATTGCCGTTAACATCACGCCATCAGTCAGGGGAATCTAAATGTGACTTTGTGTGGTATTTATGCCGCCACCTAGCGACGGATGTGATAAATCTTTAATTTCATTATTTAGTTAATTACGGTCTAAGTGTAATACCATACCCCCCCCCCCACACAATCCTAGTATGTGTGTGTGTGTGGGGGGGGGGGGGGTTATGGTATTTCAAGGATTGGTTTTTAGAGGATTTTCTTCTGTATCATGGAAGCATTTTACATATATTAAATGCATATGGATAAACATCAACATCAGGAACAATTGTTGATTTATTAATTAAATACAATGTAATGTAAATAATATTCCAACTTACAGAAACGAGGCTTAGCAGTGTGCCAGTGTGTGTTTTCGGAAGGTTCTGATTGGCCAGCTTTGTTGACGGCGCGTACGCGGAACTGGTACTGGTTGCCCTCTTCCAGCTTCGGCACAGTGCCTTGACAGATATTGCCTTGGATCTCCGCCGCCTGAAAATAAATCGCAATGGTTCAATATTTTTTGATAATACGATACATATATACATATATAAAAAATTGACGATTGTAACGCCATATATTTCACACCTTTAACGCTGTTTACCGTCACCGGTTTGGGTATTTTTACGCCTGGCATAAGCGGTATGGTTGTACCGTCATTTAACGGAAGCCTTAACATATTTCTTGCATATCTCATAATAGTCTCTTATAACACCCACACTATTAAATTGGCAGATGAATTCTCTTATGATACCATAACATGGCATATATATTATCATCATCATCAAACTGAGACAGTTCCACTGCTGGACATAAGCCACTTCTAAACTGCGCCAAGTCTTCTCGTCGCCCGTAAAACCTAAAGACAAAAGTCGTAGTTTTGTCTTCGACCAGGGCGTTCTTCCCGTTCTTACATATAAATCAAAAACGTGGACACTAACGATACGCGACCAACCCTAAAGGTTATATTCGCTAGGAGGGGGGAAGGAAGGAGCTAGGCTCGGAATTTGTTCGATGGATAAGATTCGTAATAAAGAAATTCGCTGAAGAAACGAGGTCACCGACATGGCCTTCCGTTTTTGCAAACTGAAGTGGCAATAGGGTGATCACATCTTTCGCAGATGTGATAACCGTTGGAGTAGACCTAACATAAAGTGGAGACCCCGTTTAAGTAAACGCAATCTCGGACGCCTTTTGGCTAAGTGGGGTGGGTTATCTGCTCATTCTATTCTGTCCCATCTTAATTACTTTTATTTAAATTATGAAAAGCAAAATATACACACCTTGACAAACTCGCCTCTGTCTCTATCCATGACTTCAATAATGTATCCAGTAATAGGAGCACCGTTGTCCCTGATAGGCGGCTCCCACTTGAGCTTTGCTGACTTTTCATCCCAGTCCACGATATCGGGTAGACCGGGTGGTGCAGGAACGTCGTAGGGGTTCTTGGCTAAAATGCCGTGGTCTGTTTCCAAGGGTTCCGATTCGCCCTCCTCGTTGAGGGCTTTCACTCGGAATTGGTACGTGTGCCCTGGTTCCAAGCCTAAACAGAAAAATGCATAATGTTTATAAAATAATGCATAATATTAATAACTATGTGATATGGTATTTATTTAGAGATTAATTTATGTCCCGAAACATTTCTCTTTGCAGTTTTTTTTTATAGGATAAGGATGACAAGCGAACACACAGTCCACCTGATGGTAAGTGGTTGCTGTGGCCCACAGCCATCTATATCTACTCTCGTTTGCGAATCAAAATGCAGATGCGTTGTCACCCGTGAGGACTAAGATGGAATGCCTTGTTTCCAATAAAAGGGTGTCCGGTTCTCTACACTCATCATACGAAATACAGCAGCGTTAAGCTGAAGTGCTGAAGTTCACTTTCAAGACCAAATTTTCCAGAGCTACATATATGCCTGCCAAGACAACCGACCTCCAGACGCCTTGTAGAAATTTACACTAATTTTAAAAGGGAAAAATTAGCTAATGCACTTTTCACTAAAAACCACATCGCTTTATTAGTTCACAAGCAAATATCTGCACTTATAGTGGATAGTAGACATTTGTCACTCTTGTTCTATAAAAAAAAAAAACATGTAAATATTATTTCAAAATTACAAGGTGTTTGAAAAATTAAAAATTAAAAGTGAAAACTATATTTATTTATACAATATAATTATTTTTATAATATAATTCTTTAATATACTTAAACAGCCCAGCCAAGATGATAATACTGTAATATTTTTCCTTATTATTGTTACTATAATTAAATATATCAGTTTTTTTTAAGATGAGCAACCAAAGTATTCACTTACTTTCCTTGCAAAAATGCTATATTATTTATTCTTTATTGCTATCACCTTAATCAAAAGGGTTACAAAGTTACAAAGAGGCGGACTTAATGCCTTTTGGGCTTCTAGCATTCTCTCTCAGTCAACTATGGATGTGGTAAAATATCATAGCCAGCGCAAAATAGACGAAATGAAATTGAATCGTTAACCATAAGTGTATACCTGTCACAGTCGCTTCAGTAGTGTCAGGATCAATGGTGCCAGCAGGTTGCCATTTTCCAGTGAGAGTGTCCATTTTCTCAACAACGTAAGCACTGAGCGGCAAGCCGCCAGTATGTTTGGGCTTGTTCCAGCTTAGTTTTACGTGTTCTGCATGGACATCGGATACTTCCAGCGGACCTTCCGGCTTTCCGGGCTTGTCTGTAATAGAACATTAATATTTAATAAACTTTAAACTTACTAAAACAACGATTATAAAACTTCAGTCGGCGCTACTCAATGTTGTCTGAAGAAATTTCGACTTTTTTGGTTCTGAATTATAAAATATAATTGAATTTTAGTTACAATGATAATTCTAAGAATCATTATGGTTTAACGCTATTGTACGGTGTTCCTTCGTAATATAAAGTTTTTTGTGTAAGTTATTCAATCAAAATATTATAGTAAACGGAATTATCGTCTGTTTGCATGAAGTCTACTTCTAGATATCTTTTTTACTAAAGAAAAGTTTAACATCTGTCGAACGCGAATACTGTAAATTGTATAAATCTAACGATACAAATTTAACTGCGTTCAATTTGACTTATTTTACGTTCCGAATGCTTTAAGCACCCAGGTCACAGGGGGACTGAGGTATTCAATCTACGCAAAACGAGCTTACAATATCTTGAAGTCTTGCAGTGGTATGCTTTTAATACTTTTGCTTGTTAAGGATTTGGATTTAATTTTATTAAATATCGGATATTCTAAGCAGACAGTAGCACCTTGAAAAATCATCAAAAAACGCATAAACGGCGTTCTGGCCGTCAAACACCTCAGTCTCTCCAGAAACGTGGGCACTGTAAAGCACCCAAAACGTTAGAAATTAAAAATAAATTACACTTTCTGGCTGTTCCCCCAATCATCTATTAAAAACACACAAGACAAAAATAAGGTAATGGATTATGTTGCAACTCACTCCCTTTAGGTTCTAAGCATATAGGCTACTCACTCGTAGTAAGAGGCTTTACATACCTTAACCACTGCTTCCCGTCATGCGTCTATTTTAATCATATTTTAATCATGAGAATTTTCGGGATGGTTTTGCCATGTATCAAACACCGTTATGTTTCATGGGGTTACCCATATTCCAACCTTGACATCTACCATTATTTATCTAAAAAAATAAACTTACCGAGTACAGTAACTTCCACAGTGGCTTCGTCCACACCGGAGTCGTTCTCCGCTTTCAGTGTGTAGATGCCGGAGTTCTTCCAGGAGGACTCGAAGATCTGCAACTTCGTGTTGTAGTCTTCGTTCTCTAACTTTACGCCAACGCCGGTCTCGATGACCTAGAACGAAAATAAACGGTTATAACTTATTGGTTAACATCTCAAGGCTGAAATATTTTTAAATAACATTATAATAAATATTCATTCTCCAAAGATTGCCTTATAGTTGCCATGCTTGGCAAGCGGGTTGGCAAATCGGTTTTTTTATTATTGAGATGTCATCAGAAATATGCTGTCTTACGATACCTACGGAAAAATAAATAATGGTGGGAATATATATATAAAAAGAAAATTCATATTTCAAAATCAATCGATGTAAACATGAAAGTTGTTTTAATGAGCTTACCTTCTTGGCGAAAGTCCAGGTTTTGGTTGGTGGAGGTTCACCCTTGATGTCAACGTCCAACTTGATCGTGGTTCCCGCGCGAACGCGTATCGCCACCATCTTGTCTCGGTTGATGTACGGTTTCACTAGAAACGATAATCAAGTTTGCTTATTTTTCATTAATTTATTAGCAATGCTTAAACAGAAAATAAATTTAAGAAGTTCTTTTACAAAAACAGCGCTCTTAGCACAAGTTTGTGACACTTTTTTTCTGATTTTGTATCACTATCGATAAAGTTTTATGGAGTATGACGATACGAATTTGATACAATAGAAAAAATTACACTCAAACCCCAGATAATAGCTTTCCTAACTTTACTACATTATATTTATAACACTACGTAATTTGTAAGAATATTATCGATAGATTCCATTAGAATGTGTATTTTGGAATTTTAAGTAAATGGAACCATCATAAAAAAGTCTATACTCACAGAATCTAGCCTTAGCGACGTGCGGCTGTGTCGGCTCTCCGGGTTCACCGGGGCCGGCCTTGTTGACGGCGCGCACGCGGAACTGGTACGTATTGCCTTCACGCAACTCCGGTACACGCGCTTTGCACTCTGGCGTCTATGGACAACGTATAAATAAGGGTCACATTTGCATCAAACACCTTATACATGAAATTATACTATATATAGAAATTGGATATAGAAACAGGACTGTTAAAATGAAGATAGATGTATGGTGTATGAGCCATAGCATCCAGTTACCATCAGGTAAACTGTTTCACCCATATAATATATAAAAAAAACTGTCAGTCGTAGGACTTCCACGTTAACAGTGAAAACTTCTTAGCATCACAAACTTGTAAACTTTATTTTTGGGTAGTTAAGATATATTTTTAGGAAGTATTTTTTATTAGAAATAATTTTAACAACGTATTAACACAGTAATAAAATTTTCATTTGATTATTATCTTTTGATTAGATTATTTTCATTTGATTATTATCTATATAATACAAACAAATTTATAAATACATATCAATTTTATAAAATTTAATCAATCGTATTTTGAACATTACTTTCATCAATTTTATGTATCTGGGCGTGACGGTCACGCTAGTTCAATGCTTTTCTCCCATACCAAAAGTGTCCAACGTGCCTAAAAGTTTTCAACTTGAAAAATCCGCCTGTAAAAGTCCACTGCTAAACATGGGCCTCACATAGGCCGTTGTTGCGGCGATAAACATTAAGTTTGGCAGACGGATTGACGATCTACGACGGCTGCCGGTCGACGCTATTTTATACGATATTTTGTGCCTAGCGTTATGACGTAAAAATACAGTAAAGATTTTTGTGACACTTCCCATAGTCCCCCTCTAAGGCTGCCTTTCCACCTGCAAGAACACACGCGGAAGTGTTGCATAAGTTTCTTGCAATACTGTTTACATATTGAAAGAATCTTGCAATTTTTTTTCTGCAATATGAATATCTCGCGTGAAGCTCGCGAATCATACTATCGCAACTTACCGCAGAGGTATTTTTACACACGACAGTTATAGATGTCGCGAAAGCTATGACATTTTAGTTTAGAATGCTGTGGCAGGTGGAATGCGGCCTATTATTTGCCATTTTCCATATTCTAGGTCTATAATATCCCATTACCGTGTAGTGGCGGTCAAGAATATCCACTACTCCATATCCTCCCGTGGGTGTCGTAAAAGGCGACAAAGGGAAACAGCCAGGAGATGGGCAGCAGCATCTTCCTGATAATAGCCAAATGACAATAAAAAAACTGCGGTTGCCAACCCGCTCGCCAAGCGTGGCAACTATGGCAAATACCCCCCAATGATGAGAGCAACAAAAAAACGGCCCCCAGTCCCCGGCGGCCCCGCTATTCCTGGCTACGGTGGCGACCATGGTAACGGCGGGGCAGGGGGTGCTAAGAATCTCCGGTGGAGGTTCGGTTGCCACCTTAGACGACTCGACCTGGCAACGTACAACGCACGCACCCTGAGGACTGACGAGAAGATCGTGGAGCTGGAAGAAGAGATAGACAAGTTGCGCTGGCATATTATAGGATTATCTGAAGTCCGAAGAGAGGGGGAGGACACGGTAATCCTCGAATCCGGCAACTTGCTCTATCACCGGGAGGGCGACCATCTGTCCCAAGGAGGTGTCGGATTTATCGTCCACAAGTCTCTCGTTAACAACGTTGTAAAAATCGGGAGTGTGTCGACGAGGGTTGCGTACCTTATACTCAGAATCACCAAACGGTATTCGCTGAAGGTCATACAGGTTTACGCACCAACCTCGGCACACCCCGATGAGGAGGTGGAGGAAATGTATGAGGATATCTCTAGAGCCATGCATTCCTCCAAAACCCAATATATGGTGTTAATGGGAGACTTCAATGCAAAACTAGGCACAAGAGAGAACGGTGAGCTGAAAGTAGGGAAATTTGGAATGGGGCAACGGAACCCAAGGGGCCAGCAGCTGGCCGACTTCATGGAGAAAGAGGGACTCTTTATGATGAACTCTTTCTTCCAGAAGCGGCCCCACAGGAAGTGGACTTGGTCGAGCCCCGACGGTTCCACAAAAAATGAGATTGACTTCATTATGACGACCAGACGACAACTGTTCAGTGATGTCTCCGTGATCGCGAGGGTGAAAACTGGTAGCGATCACCGAATGGTTAGAGGCACACTGAACCTAAACGTTAAGTTGGAGAGGTCTCGTCTAATGAAGTCAACGCTCCGTCCCCCTCGTGCTCTGTTTCAAAGTCCCGAAACCTTTCAGCTCGAGTTACAAAACCGTTTTCAGTGCCTAGAAGACTGCAATGAAGTGGACGATATGAATGACAAGCTCGTGGAAACTGTCCATGCGGTTGGAGCTAAGTTCTGCAAGACCCGCCGCAGAAGAACACAAAAACTCTCCGATCACACTCTTAATCTCATGGCTGTTAGACGGGAGATGAAGCTACATTCTTCAACAGACTTGACAGCATACAGGCATCTGAACAGACAGATCTCCAAATGCATGCGGCGGGACTTACGCAACTTCAATACAGCTCGTATTGAAGAAGCGATCGAGCGGAACCAAGGCTCCAAAGTCTTTGCCAGAGATCTGTCTGCCAGAAAGAGCCAACTGTCAAAGCTGAAGACAGAATGTAGCAGCATCGTTTCCGGGACACCTGAGATTTTGAGTGAGATTGAGAGGTTCTATGGGCAGCTGTACACATCATCGTTGGAGCCACACGCAAATGTGAGTAACGATCCAAGAGCGAGTCTCATCCGACACTATTCCGAAGATATCCCGGATGTCAGTCTGAGCGAGATTAGGATGGCTCTCCAGCACCTTAAAAACGGTAAGGCCCCAGGCGAGGATGGAATTACAGCGGAGCTTCTGAAAGCGGGTGGAAGACCGGTACTTGAAGTCCTTCAGAAGCTCTTTAATTCCGTCCTCCATGGTGGCATTACACCGGAGGCGTGGAGCAGAAGTGCGGTGGTCTTGTTCTTCAAGAAAGGTGACAACGCTTTCTTGAAGAACTACAGACCGATTTCCCTTCTGAGCCGCGTCTACGTGCTGTTTTCGAGAGTCATTACGAATCGTCTCGCGCGCAGACTTGACGACTTCCAGCCTCCCGAACAAGCCGGTTTCCGAAAGGGCTTTAGCACCATAGACCACATACATACCCTTCGGCAAGTTGTACAGAAGTCCGAAGAGTACAATTTGCCACTATGTCTGGCGTATGTGGACTATGAGAAAGCCTTTGATTCCGTCGAAATTTGGGCGGTGCTGCAGTCCCTTCAGCGGTGCCAAGTTGACTGTCGGTATATCGAAGTGTTGAAGTACTTGTACAGTAGGGCTACGATGGCTATCCGAGTACAGAACCAGAGTACGAAACCTATCCAATTGCAGAGAGGTGTAAGACAGGGTGACGTCATATCCCCGAAACTCTTCACCGCTGCATTGGAAGACGTTTTCAAGCTTCTGGACTAGAAAGGATACGGTATCAACATCAATGGCGAGTACATCACTCACCTTCGATTTGCCGACGATATAGTTCTTATGGCAGAATCGCTGGAGGACCTAAGCACTATGCTCAATGACCTCAATAGTGTTTCCCAACGGATAGGTCTTAAGATGAACATGGACAAAACTAAGATCATGTTTAATGTCCATGTCACACCTATGCCGATAGTTGTTGGGAACACTAAGCTCGAAGTTGTTGACGAGTATGTTTACCTGGGACAAATAGTCCGACTGGGTAAGTCCAACTTCGACCGAGAGGTCAATCGACGGATTCAACTCGGCTGGGCAGCGTTCGCGAAGCTACGACACATCTTCTCGTCAGACATACCTCAAAACCTTAAAACGAAATTGTACAACCAGTGCGTGTTGCCAGTGATGACTTACGGAACTGAGACGTGGTCCTTCACTGCTGGCCGTATGAGGAAGCTCAAGGTCGCTCAGCGAGCTATGGAGAGGGCTATGCTCGGAGTTTCTCTGCGTGATAAACTTAGGAATGAGGATATCCGCAGTAGAACCAGAGTGACCGACATAGCCCAACGGATTAGTAAGCTGAAGTGGCAGTGGGCCGGCCATATAGCTCGAAGAACCGACAACCGATGGGGAAGAAAGGTTCTCGAGTGGCAGCCTCGTACCGGTAGGCGAAGTGTAGGGCGTCCCCCCACGAGATGGAGTGACGACCTGGTAAGACATGCAGGAAGTCGATGGATGCAGGTGGCTCAGGACCGTGTTTTGTGGCATTCTTTGGGGGAGGCCTATGTTCAGCAGTGGACTTGTGAAGGGCTGTAATGATGATGATGAAATGATGAATATCCCATAATTAAAGGATTAAAGAGAGTTGTAATAACTTACAATGATAAATAAGCCTTTTAATTTTTTACCTACTTAAAATATGGTAATAATAATGCCAGCAACTACTTTCCTTTCACTGCGAACGTGACCATCGATATGGAACGCAAAATAATCGGCCAGTAGTATGGATGTAGCTATTGCATTATATAAAGACAGAGATGCTCACCAACTATGAATTACTCTGAATTCCCATTTTAAATCGCGTGTACTTTCTGCGAGAAATACGAAACTAGACCGATAAGCAGCGAGATCTGTCGCGAGTCGATGTAACATGTTTAGACTTGCAATTCATTGCACTCGCAACTACTCACTTGACAAACTGTCGCAAATGCGCTTGCTACGTAGTTTACACCTGCAAGCTACTGTCTAACAAACTGTAGGACACTTCTTACAGAAGTTTTCTTGTAAACGCGGCCTAACAACACCCACGGGATGAAGTGGTGCGATGGATTCTCTTACACTGTCACCACATGGCAAAATACATATAATAAATATATGTTTTTATTTAAATGTATTTAACTATGATTTGACCGTATTCCATTGTATTTTTCTTAAAATAAGTTAAATAAAATTCTTAAAAGGGATGCTTAAAAAATTAAAATAACAAAGAGCGAAGTTGTCATCAATCCTTTCCTTATCTGACGCGAAAAGATAATATGGTATTTCTATTACCGTAGTAACAAGTGCCTCGTGCCATTGTCCGAACTTCTCTTTCTTCTCGATGATGTAACCGGTGATAGGTGCACCACCATTGTTCTTCGGCGCCTCCCACTTGAGGTCCACGCGGTCGACGTCCCAGTCTTCGATAGTGGGCACCGAGGGCTTTCCAGGTATATCTATCGGCAAAATTTAACATTTTTTTACATATCTGTAATGAAACTAAATGCCTACAGGCTATTAGGTAGTTATTAAGAGAATTATTTAAAAAGGATAAACTGGTGTCGGTTAAAACAAAGATACAGCATAGGTATATGGGTCCAAGTTATGGGCACAGCCCTCCCCTAATTTTTGAGGGGGTTTTGGGGCAAGGAAAAATGCGCCGCGCTGCACCAATAAGAAACATCAAGTAAAGTTTAAAACTTTTTTCATCACTAGGCTTATTAAGGCTTCTATGAACATCAAAATTTTCCACCATTTCCAAAAGTGTAACCTATAAGCAACGTGATAGAGCGTCGCTGCTGCTATATTATGATTTTAACAAGAATGGGTCGGTTCTTCTCCGGTGAAGCCGACAACGCTGCTATTTTACGCTGGTACTCTGTGAAAGCAGAATCATCGTCATTACAGCCCTTCACAAGTCCACTGCTGAACATAGGCCTTCCCCAAGGAATGCCACAAAACACAGTCCTGAGCCACCTGCATCCATCGACTTCCTGCAGGTCTTACCAGGTCGTCACTCCATCTAGTGGGGGGTCGCTACACTTCGCCTACCGGTACGAGGCTGCCACTCGGGAACCATTTTTCCCCATCGGTTGTCGGTTCTTCGAGCTATATGGCCGGCCCATTGCCACTTCAGCTTACTAATCCGTTGGGCTATGTCGGTGACTCTGGTTCTACTATGGATATCCTCATTTCTAAGTATATCACGGAGAGAAACTCCGAGCATAGCCCTCTCCATAGCTCGCTGAGCAACCTTGAGCTTCCTCATCCAGCCAGCAGTAAAGGACCACGAGAGCAGAATAGCAGCGTGAAATGGCAGCTTATGCTGCTGTGTTTCATATGGTGACTGTAGAGAACTGAAGACCCTTTTTACTGGAAACGAGGCATTCCATCTAAGTCCTCGGGAGTGACATCACATATGCATTTTGATACGTAATTAAGGATGGACGTAGATGTTTATTGACCACAACACCCACTTACAATCAGGCGCACTGCCTCCTCGTTGGTCACCTTCATTCTATAAAAAAAAACCGGCAAGAAATTCGGGGTTTAACGCTTTCTTTCCTTTTTGGTAGATAAAAGTGATACATCTGTTTTTATTTATTTTCTTCTTCTTCTACATGAGCCCGTTGAAGTCCATCTGGACATAGGCCTCTCTCATTCACTCTTGGCAGGTGGATTTCACGATCGCAGTAAAGGACAATTCGCACCATGGCACTGCTGCCCGTGTGTGTGCCCGTATTTATGACTAGTTTTAATAAGAAGAGATATCTATCGGATACAATGAAATCATTTTGGAATTTTCTATAGTCACCTCTTACAACACCCGCGGGAAGAAAAGGCCCAATGATTGCCGGTAACAATATTTTTATTACAGGTGTTACTATATTCATCCTGACTCCGTGGCGGAGTGGCTTAGCAATGAGTTGCGGCACTGAAGGCCGCGTGTTCGTATCCCGCACGGAACAAGTATGTTTATATAAACACGTATGAATCTGGAGGTTTTTCCTTGTAAAATTTATGTATGTAAACTGCCTCCACGATACAAGAGAAACCTCTACTTTGGGGTAACTTTTTTCGAAGAAAATAAAATAAAAGAACACTGCCAACTCACCATATGGATTCTTGGCAATAATCGAGTGGTCAGTCTTCAGCGGTTCCGACTCGCCCTCGTCATTGACAGCCTTCACCCTGAACTCGTACTCTTCGCCCTCTTGCAAGCCCTTGATCTCCATTTCGGTGTCATCGGTTCTGCCCACAGGTACCCAGCGTCCGGTAGCCTTGTTCAATTTTTCTACTACATAACCGGTGACGGGTTTTCCTGTAATAAAAGAAGCAACAATATTAATATTGTATGGAGTTCAAGCTTATGTTAGTAGCATACATACGTATAATAATTGTTGAAGACAATTTAGCTTTTTAAGTATCAAGAGAATTCGGAAGAGTTTAAACTACGGATTTCTTCTTTTATAGGTATCCATTGCTGTCAATAAAATTTCGAAATACTAAGCATCTGATTACATCTTTTCATTATAATATTTTATCATCAATGGAAGACTTAAAAAAAAGTCAATAAATTATCAATCATCTTTTTGTTTGATTGCTTTCAACAATAAAACGATTTGTTCCATCATAAATTTTGAAAGGGTATTCTTATAAAAGGGTTAAATCAAAACTAAGGTTTTAAAATTTTTATTAGATAAAGTTAGGTATATCCGGTACAACTATTTTAATTCTTAACAATCCTGCTCATACATCCACAAACGCAGGATGAAATCACAAGCATATCCTTGTGCGAAAAACACTTACAAACATAACCTCTCCAATATGCTAACTATTGCTCACGCATTATTACTTTTATTGTTATTAGAGATTTAAAACTGACGGTATTTTGTCAAGCAAGAAAGTTCCATCTGACACCACTGACAGGGACTAAAGACAATTTTTTTTTAACCTTTTAATAATAGTTAAACAATCGAAATGTTCATAATATATGACTTACGGGATCGTGAAATGGTAAAGTTTATTTGGATTTGTACTCCTTCCCCCTTTTTAGAAGTGGGGTTAACGAGCGCGCGGGTACTGTACTAAGTAATTACCGCCGCTCATGGTAATTGCGGGATAACGTTAAACGTGCAACACCAGGGTTATTGCAAATGCGATGTAAGTTTTCATATCGGTCCTGAAGAATCGCTTAGCCGCAGAAAAAACTGGTAAACCGCACGGTGTTGGACCGCCAAACATCCAGATGGTGTGGATCTCGCGATTTTGTCGCTATGGACATAAAATTCCCACAATCGTTTATAGAGTTATTCATCAACTGACCTCCATCATCCTCGGGCTTCTTCCAGGCCAGCTTGCAGCCATTCTTGGTGACGTCAGTGACCTTGAGTGGCCCACCGGGTTTGCTTGGCGATGATAGCACCGTTATCTCGACTTCAGCTTCATCTTTTCCGTGTTCGTTGGTCGCCAAGATGCGGTACGTGCCAGTCATTGAACGGACTGACTCCTTAATGTCCAGCTTTGTGTTGTAATCTACGTTGATCACGTTTTGCGTCACCTGTAGAATTAATTTTTTGAAATTTAATTCGCCATTTCTTCACATTTTCAGTCACAAATCAGAAGGTAGAGCTCCGTTGACGATGTTAAGGCACTTATTTTCGGTGATATTAAAATTGACCGGGTTGAATTTATAATATAGGCATACAACAAATGTAGATACCCCAGTCAGCAGGGCTATTCGCTAACATTGTTGACATTAAAATGATAGTCACTTTATAGTTTTACACTGCGTATTTTATATAACTTTTCTATAAGAACTACCACAACTTATAAAACATACGACGCAATGTAATACAAAGCGGCTATAATTTTGATGTCAACAAAGTTCAGGCAATCTATGATAGAGGCTGCTATGATTATGATCATCGTCATGAACTTCTACTGTATTGGTTTTTTTTTTATTTTTGGATCTGTACACTACTTTATTTTACAAGTTATTCTAAAGCTTCGCCGTAAGATTAAAAGCAACTATCGTAAGTATGAACTTATGAGAAGATGAAGATTTGAATTCTACACGAAACACAGATTGGCATTTTTACGAATCTGGATGTTTGTCCATGTGCAATTTATGTATGTTGTTGATAAAGGAAACAATTCTAATCATTTTAAAATAAAAGGATAATAAGTTTAGAAAAGGGGAAGTTTACCTCCTTCTCCTCTCCCTTCCACTTCTGGAACCACTGTACTTTAGGCGCTGGTTCTCCCTTCACGTTGACGTCGAAGAAGATCGGCTTGCCGGCCCGGACGGCCAGAGCCTTTAAGTTCGTACGGTCGATACGAGGTTTCACTGCAAAATAAAAAAATTTAAACATTTAGATTAAGTTATCATATTAATCTTGCCGATTACCAAATCGGCGATTATTTTTCTACTAGAGGATCCATCATCCCATTTTGTCCTGTAGGTGGCTTAAGAGGCGACTATGAAAAGATCAGAAAGAAGTCATTGTTACGATGTCCGAAATGTCCAGTACTGCCAAAGAATCTACCTGTTAACCATGGCAATTGAAGTAAATGCTTCCTACAATGAGAGAGCCCCATGCACCAATATCCAGCATTAGACTGTTACGAGTTAACAGAGAAAAAGAATCAGACGAATGGATGGAATGCGGTATTCCTTCTGCATCCATTCTCAAGTACAACGCTCGCATTTTTAGTACAATGACAGAAAACAAACGAATCACAACATCATTTTTACTGGAAAGGAGGCATTCCATCGTAGTCGTCATGTGACAACGCTTCTGCCTTTTGATTTTTGTTCGAGGATGGATGTAGTTTATTATGGGCGCTCTTCGCGGCTCTCTATTTTGTCTTTAATCCGGTTTGAGGGACCAAAATATAGATGATAATACATTAATTCCACATGAGTAAAGAACTCAAGAGAAAGAGCAAATTGTAATTTACATTTGTTCTTAACTGGTAGTAGTAATAGTATTTTATCGGACCCATTATCAGATGATGCCAAAAAACTGTATTTGTTAGTTTATAAGAGATTAAGTAACTAGTAAGTATAATAAGTTTATTTGTTAGTAATTATTATATTTAAAGATTTTTTTGTAACTACCAGGGCGGCATAACCGCATCAGCGATAAAACCCTTTATCTATGAATAAAAAAAAACATGAGTAAAGCAACCGTACAGAGACAAAGCTTCTAACGAGGTAACGAGCTATCAAAATGCTTACCTATTTTGGTAAGGTTGGCACAGGAGGATAAAATTAAAAAAAGCGTCTAGTTTGTAGTAGTGTAACTATCATAGCGCGATTGTATGAAGCTTTGCCTTTGTACGGTACGGTCTCTTCACTCATGTGGTAATACCGTAACATATAGCACCTTTGGGTGAGCTTGAAGTCACTTATCGCAATCGTCGTTGTAGTTTTTGCTCAGAAGAGGAAGAGGAGCCGGGCATGTTATAGTACCAGCGTACGCGCAAATATGATGTAATAGGCCTTACATAGAGTTTAAAAGTCTCGAGAAAAACACGTTAGAACAGGCATTAGTCAGAAATATAGTAAGTAGCAATTAAACTCAGTACTAAATATCATGAACCATGTTCCGAACGAAAGGTGAAGAGAGAGAGAGATAACTATACAAATATCTAAGTATACATAATGACTAAAATATCACTTACGAGCTTTGTGTCTTATTGTAGTCATCTTGGTCGGCTCTGAGGCTTCAGATGGGCCGGCCTTGTTGACGGCGATAACCCGGAATTGATACTCGCTACCTTCAGGTAAACCCTCCACCTTGCCAGAGGTCGCCGTTCCCGGTACCTAAAAAAAAAATATTTTTTTTATACGATTTCGTTTGCCCCCGAGCATAAGACTCACTTGATGCTAAGTGACTACCGCCGCCCATGAACAACTGCAACACCAAGGGAATTGCAGGTGCGTAGCCGGCCTTTTAAAAAGGACTAAGCTCTTTTCTTGAAGGTCCCTAAGTCGTATCGGTCCGAAAAAATCGCCGGTGGTGAGCTATCCCACAGGGAGGTCGTACGCGGAAGAAAACTCATAGTGAAACGTACACTGGTGGCCTGCCAAGTATCCAGATGGTGTGGATGGTATCGGGAGATTTGCCGCGATGTGCGTTCGTGAAATTTGGCGGCTGGGATTAATCGGAACAATTCCTCAGAGCACTGGTAAACGCGAAAGGAAATGCAAAGGGATGCACATCTCTTCGCAGCGTCGGTGAATCAAGCTGATCGGAAAGGACACGGTCGTCGACGATTCGAGCCGCTCTGCGCTGGACGCGGTCAAGTGGAAGGAGCTGACACTGGGGAGCCACATCCCAGAGATGGGAACAGTATTCCATGTGAGGCCGAACCTGCGCCTTGTAAAGTTGCAGGCGGTGTGCCGGCATAAAATACTGTCCCGCTCTGCTGAGCACGCCAAGCTTTTTAGGGGAAAATTTGGTCTTCTCTTCCAAGTGAACACGAAACTGCACGTCACTCGATATGTCGGCGCCGAGGATTCCGATACTGGCTGAGGCAACAAGCGGAGTGCCTTGAAACTGAGGAGATACGACAAAGGGGTTCTTTTCAGCGTTAAACGCGCAAACTTGTATGTTCTGAGGATTAAACTGGACTAGATTTAGTCGCCCCCAATCCGAGACTTTGTTCAGCAAAGACTCGACTTCAGACACAAATTTGTTCCGGTACTCGGCGACGTTTTCCCGAGCTATATAGGTACGGCCGGTGTATAAAGCATCGCCAGTGCTGTCATCCGCAAAGCGATTCATGTTACCGATTTGCAACATATCATTGATATGCAGAAGAAACAGCGTTGGTGATAGTACGGAGCCTTGTGAAACACCAACGTTAATAGGCTTGTAGTTGGAGCATGCACTGTCTACAACGACCTTGATCCTCGGGATCTGCAAGAAAGCTGGTGATCCAATTGCACAATTTCTCGGGAAGCCTATAGGAAGGAAGATTCGAAAGAAGAGTGCCAAACTCGATCGCAGGCCTTCGCAATGTTCAACCTAACAGCCAATGCCTCCCCCTTGGACTCTACTGTCTCCGCCCATCTATGAGTCAGGTAGACGAGAAGATCAGCTGATCGAAAACCGTATTGGCGGTCACTAATCAGCTGGTGATCCTCAAGGTACCGCATGAGTTGGCAGTATATAATGGATTCCATTATTTTGGAGAACAAGGAGGTGATTGCGTTAGGCCTGTAGTTAGACGGGTCTGAGCGTGTGGCTCACTGTACATTGTACTGTGAACTTGTGAAGGGATGTAATGATTGCGGTACCCCACTGTACAGCTGGTCTTCCTGGGATTTTTTAATACCTGTAACTAAGACTAGCTCTTCACATAACAGTAAATCAATCATTATGGGCGTGTGGCGTAGAATTTTGCCTTTATGCCAAGTTTTTCCTAGCTAGTAAAACCATCAATAGGGTACTCGATGTAGATGATCACACAGACAACTGCCTGGACCCTCTATGTATTTATTACATAATACTTTTGATGTTTGTTTGGTGAGTAAAGAGAAAACCAGAGACACATTTACTGGAAACTATGTTTTTTTATAGTATAAGGGTGACAAACGAGCACACAGTCCACCTAATGGTAAGTGGTTACTGTGGCCTATAGACATCTACATCTATCCTCGTTTGGGAATCAAAATGCAGATGCGTTGTCAGCCGTGAGGATTAAAATGGAATGCCTCTTTTCCAGTATATAGGGTATCCGGTTCTCTAAACTCACTATACGAAACACAGCAGCATTAAGCTGCTATTTAACGCTGGCATTCTATGAGAGCGTGGTTCTTCCCCGGTCGAACCGACCCCCATTCGTGTTACAACTGTCATATTATTATAGCAGCAGCATGGTTTTACTACGTATAAAATATGTATTCTATTTTAGTCCACAAGGGTCCTTAACCTTAGTCCTGAATGTGTTTATTTACTGCAGCGCCCGTGAATTGTATGTTTTACTTATATGAAAAAATTATCGCTATGGTGAAAACTGACGAAAAATCGTCAAACGTCATCACATCATCTATGTCTTACCTCAGCAGCATTCTCCCAATCGCCGCCCTTGGGCTTCTTCTGTATGATATACTTTAGTATAGGGGCTCCACCGTCGGACGCCGGCGGCTCCCACTTGATCTCCGCGCTTTGATTGTCGTGATCCGCAACTTCGACATTGCCGGGCTTGTCCGCAACATCTATAACAATAGTATAATTATTACAATTGTAATTAGTTTTATAAATCAAAATATCTATGCGTTATTTTTCACCATCTAACAACTATTTTCTTCGTCCTGAGAAGAGAAAAAAGTTAAAAGACAAGTAAAAAAAAAATTTAAAGTAATATGTTTTGATTTTGATGAATTAATTTCATTTTATAGGATAGGGTAACAAACGAGCACACAGTCCACCTGATGCTAAGTGGTTGCTCTGATCCATAGTTCATCTACATGTATCCTCAATAAATAATGAAAATGCAGATGTGTCGTCACCCGTGAGGACTAAGATAGAATGCCTCTTTTTCAGTAAAATGGGTCTCCGGTTCTCTACACTCGCCGTACGAAACACAGCAGCGTTAAGCTGCTATTTTACGCTGGTATTCTGTGAGAGCGTGGTCCTTCCCCGGTCGAGCCGACCCATTCGTGCTACAACTATACTACTAACATAGCTGCAGCATGGCTCTACCACGTATAAAAATAGTGTCAAGTACCCATAATATATCATCATCATTACAGCCACATCACAAGTCCACTAGTGAACATAGGCCTCCCCCAAGGAATGCCACAAAGCACGGTCCTGGGTCACCTGTATCCATCGGATTCCTGCATGTGCTTCCAGGTCGTTACTCCATCTAGTGGGGTACGCCCTTTACTTCGCTTGCCGGTACGAGGCGACCGCTCGAAAACCTTTTTTCCCCATCGTTCGTCAGTTCTTCGACCTAATATATAGGTATAAATAATTTAAATTAACTTCTCTTACTGTGTCTTAAAACTAAGTATTTTATTCGTTTTCAATTAAATTACATTTGAGTTATTCAAAAATCTAGGCTACAAACCTAATACTCGAAATACGATACCTAGCCTACAAGACAAATATCTTCTTTTTCCACTTTTTCAGTATATGAGCATTTTTTTTTAAATAAAAAATAACTTTCAAAATAGCGGCTACTAGCATAATAAATTTTATTTAATATTAAATAAATGAAGCTAGTATAACCCATTATTATTATTATTTTATTATTTTTTCTTTAATTACAAATTTTCATTATAAATAAAAGATCACTTTAATAAAATATAGCATATTTATAACTGTGTTTTATTGCATTACTCGGCTAGGCCTATGTTCAGTAGTGAACTATGAGCATGCGCTGTAATGATGGCGATGATAATGATATAGTCGTTACTGAGTTACTCTAAGAGCTGTAGTAGCTCAAAGATTTCACAACACAACTGCAACCTGAATTCGCTCCTAACGGGCACCAATAAAGTTGTTGATTGCAATTTTAAGTGATGAATACATGGCGGGATGCCTCAATGACTGACAAATTAAAAAACTATTGGCATATTTATAAGTCGGCTAACGCGCTTTGCGGCAGTATGACGATCTATTTTTCTTAATTGCATTCCTTAAAAAAGAATACAAAGGGCGGGCTTAATGCCTTAAAGCATTCTCTACCAGTCAAACCCATGGAGTGTAAATAATTTGACGTGTTTCTTGCTTCAAGAATGAGAAATGAGAAGAAGCTTGCGCAAAGCTGTGGGGCATATATTGGCTGCTACTTTACTTCTTTCTTTTCACTTGTTACTCACCATACGGGTTCTTGGCGAGAATAGGTCTTTCTGTCTCGAGAGGTTCTGAGTCGCCCTCATCATTGACGGCAGTCACTCTGAATTTGTACTGATGTCCGGGCTCCAAGCCAGTCACATCCATTTCCAAGGGCTTCTTGTCACCAGCAACCCTACATAATTAGTATTAAACAAAACCATATTATTAAATTAAATAAAAAAAATGTTTTTAATTTATTTATTTATGTGGAGGAGAGTACAGTAGAGGGTAATAGTATATTCTACTGATATAATATATTATATCAGTATAATAATTCAAAAAATAATTTAAATAAAAATAAAATTAATTTAATTAATATTAATAAAAAAAATCTATTTTTAGTTTAGCAATACTACCAAAATTATTATTACAACATGGGGAGATACTTTTTTAAGTAAGGTAAATAAAAAAATTCGCAAGATAATATCTTTGAAGGCGTTTCTGTTTCCACGCGTGGTGAACTGCGTCCGGAAGTAGATGATAAATAGAAGTACCATGATAAAGGAGTAAGCAAAAGGTATAAAAAAGTTTATTGTTAATTGCATCCTGCAGTTAACGATAAACTGTTTTTAAACTTTCCCTCCAGATTTGAAATTGTTAGCATATTAAAAATTGGCCTAGAATTAACTTCATAAATTTATATTATATTTATGTATATGTATAAAAAGCGAAAGAAATATTAGCGAAAATGCTTCCTTAAACTCACCTTCCAACACGGACCCATTTTCCAGTAGCGAGGTCCATTTTCTCGAGTTCATACTCCTTGATCGGTGAACCGCCATCGTCTTCCGGCTTCTCCCATTTCACCTTGCAGCCTTCCGCGTGAATATCTGTCACCTCAAGTGGACCTGAGCAAGACCAAAAAAAATGATTTTAAATTGTAAGTGGAGCAAAAGTGAATTCTAAACGTAATGATTTCTAAAAATGACCTTTAAAAAGTTAAAACCTACTTCAATAATGTTAAAAGAACAAAATTTTCACACAATTTAATAGCTTCTCAAGTTGAGACTAACTATTTGATATACTTACTAATAGCACAGATTTCAGGAGATATAAAAAATTATGTGGAAATTATTGGAAGGAAGTTCTTTATCGGACGGTACAGATTTTGGCGGATGGGGGCTACGCGACAAAAAGTGTAAGATTTTTTCCGTCACGAAATGGAATAATATCCATCTCTCTCGCACTTTTTCTTATCTTACCATGAAAGAAGTATTATTTTCATTTAAATGTCGCTTCATTTTAATAGACGCTAGTAATTCATTTATTTGTATTTGTTAATCAATTATATAATACGTTTTATCAATAATAATGTACTACAAAAGCATCTTCGTTCCAACTGAGTGTTCCAACTGAGTGTTCCACGACACTCACACACGTTTTTTTAACACCCACTGTCCAATTTTCAGATACAATAGTAAGACAATAGCAGTGAACTATATGTACTACACGGGACAGCGAAAGGGTTAATAACTTTTAGTATATTAAAGTCGGTTTTTAGTTTTTCTTTTTAAGTTTAATTTTTGACCCTCATGAGAAGACTGAGTAACATCATCAAGACAACAACTGGAATGTCACAATAGTCACAATAAAAACTTCACTATTTTTCCACACTATGTGGTAACAAGGGTTTAGTAGTAGCAAAACCATCGCTTAACATACATACAAAAACAAAGTTTTTTACGTGGCAGAGCCATGCTTCAGCTATATTATTATGGTTGTAGCACGAATGGGTCGGCTCGACCAGGGTAGGACCAAGCTCTCATATAATACTAGCGTAAAATAGCAGCTTAATGCTGCTGTGTTTCGTATGATGAGTGTAGAGAACCAGAGACCCTTTTTAGAAACGAGACATTCCATCTTAGTCCACTTAACGTTTATTAATAGTTTTTTTATAGAATAAGGGTGATAAACGAGCACACAGTCCACTGTGGCCCAAAGACATCTACATTTATCCTCAATTGAGAATCAAAAAGCAGATGTAACCCTGACGACTGAGATGGCATGCCTCGTTTCCAGTAAAAGTCTCCGGTTCTCTACATTCACCATACGAAAAATAGCAGCATTAAGCTGCTACTTCACGCTGGTATTCTGTTAGAGCGTGGCCCTACCCCGGACGAGCCGACTCATTCGTGATGCAAATATATTATAGCTGCAGCATGGCTCTACCCACGTGAAAAAGTTTTCTATTAGAACTCAACTTGGCTGTATGTATTTTAGATTTTCCATCTAAAAATAAACATTCAAAAAAAATCGCTTACCCTTCGGCGCACTCGGTTTGCTCAGCACCGTCAGCTCCACTGTTTCCTCGTCGAATCCGTTACAGTTCTCGGCGCGGAGAGTGTACTTGCCGGTATCCCTGCGCACTGCGTTCACTATTGTGAAGTCTGTATGGTACTCTTTGTTCTCGATTTTGATGCGTTCCGTGTTGACCAGCTTAATGTTCTCGCGCCATGACCTAAAGAGTTAGATTTTCATTAAGAATGTCCTAGTGACCGAATTTTTCGGTCAAGGCTCCCAGTCTCAATGAGACTAGCCATATGCGCAGGACAGGATGAAGTGCAAGAGTGTGTGCAAAAGCATAGACGAACTCTCTATTCCCTTACTCTCGTAAAGCGAGTCGGAGGGAGCAATTGCAGGACCAATGGCGGTGTTCTACCCACGTGCTTTCCAAGACACGGGGGTAGAACACCGCTAACTTTCTAATTCCAGGCTGCTACTGTGAATTTCATGACATAAAAACCCAATAACTGTTTTTTTTTTGCCCGATCCGGGATTCGAACCCGGGCAGCAGTTGTTAATAAAAGATTGATAAGCAACCTGAAAGACCTGTTGCTAAGTGGTCGCTTAGTGTGGCTAGACTAAACTCTTTATAAAGTTATAAAGCGGAATAAAAAGAGGTAATAGGTAGTTATATACTTCTTTAACAGCCTTGAAGACAGTAAAAACCGCAGTTTTTTATTGCTTTCAAGTCCGTTAAAGACACGACTCCCACGGGATGTTATGAGGTAGTGGATTCTCCTACGCCGCTCCTACACGGCACGGTAGTCTAGATTTTTGCTAATCCTAGCATGAAATTCTGAGTAAAGATGATACTCGTAAATGAAAAAAGTAGTGCCTACCTACATACTTAACTAAACATTTGTTAAAGTGAAAAAAATTGCCATAACTTTTTGATAAAAATTCGTAAAGTAATTCGTAAACAAAAATTCTAAGTGCTAAGTTAACAATATTTAAGATGTATTTCTTTCACTTTGACTATAGACATTATTACCACATGGGCACGAGGACGTTATCGACCAACAAATGTACGGTATTTTTTTCTCCGTTTTTCGTTACTACTCATTCTTATTTCGTTATTTTTTGTTGTTACATCAATTTAACTCAAAGTTTTTACCTGCAAGTTTCAGTATTTTAAAGAGTGCTGTGTGGGTGTGCTTTTTGAGGTGGGCGATGCAAACCGTATACTGATACGAAATCTATATATTGGTACAATATCTAAAAACCGCTTACTGGTTCGTTTCAAAACTATATATTACAAAATCTGATATTTGCGTACCGCCGCGATGCCTAAATCGTTTCGCATCAGTCGGTGGGTGGCTAGATTCGCCGTGTGCGACAGATATGGGAATTAGATTAGACATGCATGACGGAAAATTAGTCTTACTAAAATCTTTATATATGTACACTACACTAAATAATAAAAAATAACAATTTCACTAAATCTTAATTAACTTCCCTAGTAATTATTTTTTCAAGTTTTTATATAAATCCCTTGTAATATTTCGATGAAAATGTAAACTAAATAATATTAAATCAGCCCGCTTAAATTACTACCTACATATCAAAAACAACACTTCAAAAGATTTAACGGCAAACGATTTATTTAATATGATAGTTGTCAAAAACAAGTTCGACATAAAATATTGGATATTAGTTTAACTTGTAAGTATATATATTTAGCAAATAATTGTTACAATCCTTATTTTTAGACATGTGAAGCCTAAATTTTAATGTAATAAATTATAAAATTGCTTTGTAAACCGCCATCTACTCCATTCTATGGGTAAAGTCATTTTATCGAACGAAAATTGATTGACTCTCAAGGTGTAACGTAAAGAAGACGCTAGATGGCATAAATACGGCTAGGTAAGAAATCGATCGTGGATGGTTTTGAATGGACTGGAATATGATAATTTTATTAATTATCGTTTATTTTATTTATTTAATAAATTTTGCAATTTTTTTAACTGTTTATTTTAACAGTTAAAAGATATATTCACCATCTTTATTTAGATACTTTCGGCCGAGACAAATACAGTAGCAGGAGCGGTACGGCAATGAGGGCTAACAATATTCTACTCACCAGATGTCGCTAGTTGTGACTGAGGTAAAGTTTTTTATTCTACAATATTAGTTAATTGCAAAGAGTATAGTAATATATAAGGAAGAGAGCCCTCTTGCGAGTAAAACTGGTGCTCCTTGGAAAAAGCGCCACCTGATGATTGTTACGCTAACTATAATTTTCACATGTGTGTGTGTATATTCCAATTCACTCACACGAGAGTACTCTGTGAATGTGTGCGTGTGTATATGTATACTGCTTATTACGCCCACCCTCCCATTCAATATTCTATATTTTAAACTTATATTACTATTTCCATTCCAATTTTCTATTTTTACATTACAAACAGACACTTCAATTTTATTTGTTTGTATAGAATTTAAAGTTTAACTTATGTTGCCTAATAATGATAAATTTCAAATCTGATTGTTTTTTAGTCTAAAATCTTGTGCATTTTATAACATTATTTTATATAGAATTTTCAATTTATTTTTGGCAGATCTGCCAGAATAAATGTAGTGGAAAGAGAAAGTTGCAATTTTTATCCTTTTAAATGCAATTTGTGCAATAAATAAATAATAGACACTGTAAATACCTACTATTTTATATTATATATTTTATTGAACCATTTTAATTGAGTAGGTATCTAGTGTTGTAAATAAATAACTAGTTCAAAACTTTAAAATAATAAAGTTAAAACTACAAATATATCTGCATTAGCTCCAAGAAGATAGATAACATAATATAAATTTACTCTAAAACTATAAATATATCTTCTACAATACTGATTCGCATCGAATAGGTAAGAGTACTACATCGAATAGGTAAGAGTAACTACAAAATACCGTATCAGATTTCAACAGCGTATCGGAGTAGAAAAAATAAACACGTGTTCTCAAAATTAATAGATATTGAAATATATAGTTGTAATATCAGAGAAAACGCGATGCGACCGAGGACTACTCCTTCGCCCCTTCTCCATTAGCAACGGAGTCCTACCGAGAGGACCACAAAAATTATCGACAAAGGTCTAATCAGGTCACTTTGTGTGTGTGTATAGTGTAATAGTAATAATGAAGCTCATTCGTAGCTATATGTGTTTCTCCTAACTCAACCATTCCGCGATGTAATAAAAAAGTCGCGCCATCTAGTTGACAAGCTGTTAATTATTTTTATAGGTTTTTAGGTTTCAGTGGACTTGGGCGGACAGGTTATTAACAAGTTTTGGCTCATCGATATATATCACGGTATATAAAAAGAGGAACATAATATAAAAGTTCTTGTAGTTCGTTGTAACTTTGATCTAAGTAATTGAAATTAATTTTATCCAACGAAAACAGTATAAAATCGTTAAAGTACACTATGTAAAATAACAATTGATTTTGATCACGAGTGTCAACGACGTCTGCCCTCACGATGCTTTTGCTTTTATGAAGACATTAAATTCAATGTGCGTAGAGGAAAAACTCGTTCACTTTGACTAACTCGTGGCGTAATACTTGTAAATGCAGTATTTATTCATTCCAGCTATTGACAAACTGACTGGGCTATTTGTATGTCTAGGGCTAGGTTACTTTTGATGGGAAATAACGAAAACTTTATTTGCATACTGTACCTAATTAAATTGGTAATAATTCAAATAACATTTTATTTTCAAAGTAAGAATAAGCGCCATCTAGTTTTAATGAGGTCACGCAATGAGGCATCCACGACTTTTTCTGTCATCAGGGCGGCGCCACTTTGGATTTGGAATGAGGTAAAATGTTTGACAGATTTCATAGCGAGGAAGTTAATTTGTTAGGAAAATGTACAAGTTAGGTAATGTTTCTTTTTATAATATTAGTTCAATTTCATATTATTTCGATTAAAAATGAAAAAACCAAACTACAGATATTGAAAAAGTAGAGAAATTAAAAAAGAAGACTTATAAACAAACAAAACATTGAAGGTATTGTTTTATGTATTAATATAATACTTTAGAAACTGATAAACTTTTATTTAAAACTAACTTTCCAATTAAATTACATTGTGTAGCAAAAAATTTCACCTCAGCCCTAACTAACGACATCTGGTGAGAGGAAGATTGCTAGCCCTCATTTGTTCAAGTTTAGTAATTTAGTTCTGAATAAATAATATAAGTATAAAATAAAAGTACATGGGTATAAACTCAGATTATAGAAATATAATCTGAGGGTATAAAGCATAAATTATAAACTGAAAGTGCACAAAGTACATTTTTATGGGTTATAGGGTTTGCTGCTTCCCTTGAAAGTTAAAATTATTGTGTATATTATTCATAAAAAATGTTCATAAAATAGAAATAATTTAAGGATTTGGAAGGTGAAGCTTTTGACCATTACTCAAAATCGTTACCATTACTTAAAATCGCTCTACTTAAAATCGTTTTTGGAGTTTGTTGTGTTGTCATGTCCAAATTTTAATAAACTTGTTTGTGAATGACTTGTAAATTTTTAAATGTAACTAAATAAATTGGAACAGAAATAAAATAACTACATTTGTTGGACAGATCATAAAACAACATAAAAGTAAAAACAAATGTGCCTAATATTATTTTAATTGCTTTTCAAGATTTTTTTTCGGACCTTCCATATTATTTTAATATAACAAATATAACAAAAAAAGAATTATAAATATCCCTTGTTCAAATCGTAAGTTCATACAAAAATCCCAAAGAAAAAAGCACAGAGTGTAGTGCTTACCAACAAACAGCATATAATTTTTATTTATATAAAATAAACACTTGACGTACTTACCATGTGGTCTCTGGTGGGGGTTCACCGATGACATCCACAGACCATTTGTGTGTTCGTCCTGCCTTTATTATGACAGATTTGAATGTACTTCTTTCAATGCGAGGTTTCACTGTAAATAAATATTAACATATTACGGTTATCACCTATATACCTTTATAATATAGTTATTCATACCGCTTATGCATATTATATTCATTCCATTATCCTTTACGGCCTATAAAAATTCACTTCTGTATATTCCATAGGTCTTCTCGTAGATTGCCTCTAAGTTTGATTATACCATGAAGCTAATACAATGCTTCATGGATTATACAAAATAGTTGCCACAGGTGGCTGGCAGTTTATCTTTATTTCATATAGGTTAGCAACTGCAGTTTTTTATTATTTTGATTACCAAGAAAATGCTGCTCCCAACTTCTCTTTCATTTTCCTCTGTCCCCTCTTACAACATCCATTGTACGAGTTAGTAGTTTCTATTACACCAGCAATACACAGCAAAGACTACATCCTACACAGAATACAACATACATTTGCATAAGTATAAATATCCAAATTTAGGTGATAGTAATTCTAAAATTTGGGCCACTAAAATTTATAATGCAGATAATGTGATTATGCTTATAACCACTTAAAATACCAATAAAGCTGTTCTCTTATTTGAGTGAAAATACACATTAGTATATTTCTAGTGCTATAAAATTGAAAGCAATAATTTTGTGCCTTGGACACTTCAGAGTGTCGCTATTTGTGCAGATATAGTCTTACTAATTGCATGATTGTGTTTACATTGATTTGAGTAACAAATGAATAAGAAACCATTTGAGCCACAGGAATGTGCTACTGACCCCTACTTCAACTCATACTACTTCAATCATGAATAGAAATTACAGAATGTGCAAGTCTTCACTTGCACTTGTGTTGTCCTTCGACAACACATAAAATTAGAGCCTCTACTTGTAAATAAACGTTTAATTAAATAAATAAAAACTATTTCTTACAGTTCCTGTGTTTACAGAGGTGGTTTTCTGTTGGCTGTGAAGCATCACCAACACCAGCTTTATTGTAGGCCTTTACACGGAACTGGTATATCATTTTTTCTTTCAGGCCTTCCACTTTATATTCAGTCTTAGGTTCTGTAAGTTTTCCAACCTGAAAATTGTCATTTTAAGATAATTAATGATTAATATTATAAAAAAATATTCTAATTAAGAATAAGAAGAACATAAATTACATAGGAGGAACTTATGCTAGGTAAAAAATAATTTCCAATTTGTTACACGTGAAGATTTTTATTACAGTTCAATAACATTGATTTTTAATACAAAGAATGTCTGCAAATTTTGAGCAAATTTATTTTGAAAAAGTAAAATAGCTTTCCAAGTACATATTTTAAAAACAGACAGTACAAAAAGAAAGAGCAAAAATACAAGACAAGGTATGAAAGAAAACTTAAGTAATCACAATTCTGAAATACAGTGGACCCCCGGTAATCCGGCCCCTGTCTAATCCGGCACCCCCTGTAATCCGACATGGTCTATTATTTATTATTTTTTTGACAATCTTCGAAAATGCATGATTGAACAATTTATAACTTGTGCTCGACGCGTAGGGTATTGTTTTGAATTTTAATTTACTAAATTTGACATACATAATGAAGTATAATTTGTACTTCAGAGTACATATATATAACATATAGAATCTTATCATTGGATCTGGAATTTGTCGGATTACAAGGTACTCTTTTATAAATAATTCTGGACTATAGGGGGTCTTAGGCAGACTATAATCCGACAAATTCGATAGTCCGACACTGCCTGCAAAATGTTTGTCGGATTACTGGGGGTCCACTGTATATAGCTTTGCCAAATTTGTATGTGGTAGAGCCACACTGCTGCTATATTAGTGGTATAGTTGTAGCACGAATGGGTGGGCTCGAACGGGGAAGAACCACGCTTGCACAGAATACCCACATAAAATAGCAGCTTGACACTGCTCTGTTTCGTATGGTGAGTGTAGAGAACCGGGGACCCTTTTTACTGAAAACGAGACATTCCATTTTAGTCCTCAAGGGTGACAACGCATCTGCATTTTGATACGTAATTGAGGATAGATGTAGATGTCTATGCAACCACTTACCATAAGGTGGACTGGGTGCACGTTTGTCATCCTTATCCTATAAAAAATCTACTTAGTGCCAAGGCACAGCATACGCACCTCTATCCAGTCAGCAGTAAACTTATCTTTCATCTCAATCACGTAGCCCAATACTGGTCTACCACCATTATCACTCGGTGGTTCCCATTGAAGTGTTGCCGACATGTTGTCATAATCAATGATGTTAGGCTTGCCCGGCGCTTTTGGTGGATCTGATAAAACAATATCACACTTTATTATGAACAGGTCCTGAACTCAAACCTCAAGCTACCGTTTTGTTTGTAAACAAATGAAAACGTAATGACAGTTGACACTTGACATTGACAGCTGTTAGACAAATGTCAACGTCAAATTCGACGCATCGCATCACATTTGATCACTTTGATAGATTTATGGTTGAAATAGTTGTCGTTACATAAATGAAAAATAAATAATTAATAAAATAAATTGAAAACCTCTAAACATCAAATTTAATCATAGGCATAATAATATAAATGTTCTTTAAGTGCAAACACAATATAAATATTAAACTAACCATAAGGATTCTTCGCGACGATAAAGCCGTCAGTTTCTAACGGCTCAGATTCTCCTTCCTTATTCACTGCACGCACCCTAAACTTATACTTGTGGTTTGGTGTCAGACCTTTCACTGTGAATTCAGTAGGCTCTGGACCAGTTTCACCGCATGGAACCCATTTGCCTGTATCCTAAAAATAAATAATAGGTATCTAATGTTAATAATGTACTGACTTATTGCTTTTCAACATTGTAATTTAATTATTAATACTACGTCACAATATTGAACTGTGATTATTTTGCCGCCGCACAGTATACTCAGTCTTAATTAATGGGCATCCACGACTTTTTCTGCCACCAGGGCGGCGTCACTTAAAAGTGAGGTATAATATTTGACAGATTCATAGCAGGGAAGTTAATTTGTTCGAATAATATCAGATGTGGTGTGGTGTTTCTTTCTGTACTACTACCTATATTTTATATTATTAAGATTAAAAATAAATAAACAATACCCACAGATTTTCATAAATGTAGAAAAATTAAAAAAAAAAAAACTTAAAAAGGTGGAAAAAATTAAAGAGCAAACCACTGAGGCATTTTTTTGAGTATTAATATAATCCTCAAGAATCTTCCTATAATCCTCCAATTAAACTCAATTAAATGACATAGTTTATCAAAAAAACTTACTTCAGTGTCAACTAGCGACATCTGGTGATCGGAATAAGGCCTCATTAATAGACATTATGAGTAGCTATGAAAAATAAATTGATATAATTCTTTGATTGATTAAATTCCGAAGAAGATGATGATTTAGGCAAATTTTACTATGCAATGACTATTTAAAATTAGTTAAATTAAGAACCGAATGCAACAATGTATGACAGTATTTTTTTAATAAGCAACCACAGACGAGTTGCAGTATTTGTAGCAAACGATTAATATTTCTCTTGAGTGGCGCGATAAGCCTCATAATATGAGTAAATTTTTTTATATTTTAAATTAATGTTAAGAGTTAAAAAAAAAATTATAAATCTTACCATGTCCATCTTTTCGAGAGTATATCCCGTAATATCAGATCCTTGCCAATCATCAGGTTTCTGCCATTTGACAGTTGCCTTTTCGGCTCGCACATCAACCACTTCAATGGGACCGTTAGGTCGGTTCGGTTTATCTGAAATTTCAAAACATTTTTTAATTAATGCCCTAAGTATAGCCGAATAGACACCGAAGAAATTGGCACATAACTCAATATTTGTATGTTTTTTTCCTTTTTTAATATTACTGAAAAAAAATCATAATCATATAGCGACTTTTTTCATCCTCTGCTGGACATCCAAACTTAATTTCCAATTAAAAAATGTATGTATTTTTTTAATTAAAAACTAATAACACGCGATTTATTTTAAATATATAATACCTACAAATCTCTTTACTATTACACAATTTCTCACTCTACCATACAGAATCGCACTTAACTTAGTCTTAATAACCACATTTCTACAGCATTAATATTAGTCTCGTGCCTCTTCTGTCACCCCGGTTTCACTACCCTACATTTCGGTAGGGACTAACCAGCAGTATGAATTGCCATATGTGCCTCTTTGACACATTCTGACTTCCCACAATAGTGAGTGAGTGAAGAGCTCCATTCACTATGTCCTGTTCTAAAGTGGTTATTCCGTTTACCCTCCCTAATAAATTCACCCTAGGGTGAATGCTCGGAAACGCATGTTTGTTAATTCACCCTAGACGGGGTGGATAATCGGAATCTAAATTTCTTAGGGTAAACGGAATAGCCTTTCTAAAACCTTGCTCACACATATCCTGCACATTGTGCATTCATTCTTACAAACTTATCCACTTGCTCACCACTGTCCCTGCTAAACAAACTCCCCCGCTATTCATATTTAACATACGGTATTACTTTCTTCTCTTTTAAAAGTTATGACTTTCATTTTCATTTTCTCTTTCTTTTAATGATTCGCTCATTTATAACCACAAGAAGAATAAGGGTGCCAAAAAAGCATACATTCCACCTGATTATAAGTGAACAGCTAAGACTCATATACATCTACATCTGTCTTCGATTTAGAATCAAAATGCCGATGCATTGTCACCCCTGAGGACTTACATGGAATGTCTCGTTTCCAGTAAAAAGGATATCCGGTTGTCTACACTTACCATTCGAAACACAGCAGCATTAAGCCGCTATTTCAAGCTGATATTGTGTGAGAGCGTGGTCCTTCCTTCGATCGACTTCTTCCGACCCATTCGTGCTACAACCATAATATAGCTGCAACATGGCTCTACCATGTATAAACTAATACACCCAACTTACATTCGTCGCCTTTCAAAATATTTTTAAAGTTTCAAAAAATAATACTAAAATATCTTACCTAGCACAACCACGTCTGCTATGCTTTCACAGGTACCAGACGAGTTAGTCAAAACCAATTTATATTTTCCGCTGTCAGGTCTGGTCGTCTTTCTTACATTCAATACCGTGTTTCTTTCATATTTGTCGATAGTGATGCGCTCACCGTCGTCACGAATTTCCTACAGTTAAGATAAAAATTAGCAAGTAATTATTTAAAAAAAAAAACACGTGGCTTCTGACTTTTCATGGTGCCTGTTTGCATGTGCATTTCACGATGGACAAACATATGTAAAGTCAAGGAGAAAATGTAGATTTCTTTGTTGAAAGTGGCACCATGAAAGATCGAACGCACCAAGTTAAAAACATCAAGTGTGTTAAACATAAGTTCATTGATAGAGTTAGAACGTGTCGACAGTTGTTGTAATGCAATAATGTAATATCATACTGTCCAGATGTTATTCAAAATAAAATACATATATTATGAAACCAATCGAGTTGTAGACGTTCTTTGCATTTTCCGTAACCTACCACCAAGTGCTCATCTATTTTTCAATGCGTAGTGGTGACTTGTTATGAGTGAGATTTTTAGAACAGAGAGATTGATACAACATCGAAAGCTTTGAAATTGTAATGTTAATGATCGCGTCGCCGGCGATTTTTTATTCGAAATCACGATATACTGGTCCAAACACTAAAACACGTAGAAAACAAATAGTTTTTCATCAGTATATCATGTTTCATGTCGTTACATAAAATATATGTAATCAAGTTAGCCACATTTGAGTGTAAAGAGTAAAATATGTAAGAGCATTTTAGAATACAACGATATACAACATTGATTGCACCCAGCTGACCTTCTCTGTGTACGCCTTCCCACGTTTCTTTTTTGGAAAAATAAGATATTTATTAATTCAATGAAACTATTTAATTTAAAAGGTATAAAATTGCAAGAAATAAACAGGTTTAGTTAAAATAATTTAAAAAAAAATGTCTCGATTACATTGATCCACAATATCATCAATGCTTACATTACATTTCTATATTAAAAGTGAATAAATAAAATGATAAGTGAATAGTGAAAAGGTTTTATGTTCCGTATTTAGGATATTTAATGGCCTGTTTTCAATAATTTTAACTTTCGTATTCTTACCTCTTCACCGTGCATCCATCTGACTTCGGGTTCTGGTTCTCCTCCGTATTTGATATCGTACGTGATAACTTGTCCCTTTTTGATTATCATATTTTGAAGTCCTTCCCCAATGATGAAAGGCTTAACTGCAAAAACAGATTTTGTATGATAGTCCACGTTTCGTTATTTCCATAATTATCATGATTATAAACAAATATTAATAAAAAGACAAATTATTACCGAATCTGCACTTAGCAACGATTGGCTTAGTACTATCACTAGGTTCGCCAGGGCCCGCTTTGTTGATAGCACGAACTCTAAATTCATAAGTGCAGCCTTCTTTAAGTCCATCTTGAGTTGCTTCCAGGCAATCTCCTGGGACTTCCTTGCCCTGTACCCAGTCTTTGCCGAATTTCTCCTTCAAAAAAAAAACACAAACATTCATTAGAATCAAGATGCTCCAAGTTTAAATTCTTAGCGGAAATATCGTTAAAGAGCATATTAATAAGGAAATAGTACATACTTTATACTCAATGACGTAGCCTGTAATTGGAGCGCCACCGTCGTTATCTGGTTTTTGCCATTTAAGATCTGCATGATCTTTATCCCAGTCAGTTAATTCCACATTCTTAGGCTTCGACGGTTCATCTGAAATTTATAGGAGATAATGAAATCAACGTTATGATTATTACAAATAAAGAGTTGAACTCACTTGGTTGCTGACAAAATCTAATGTATTGGTGCTATAGACGTGTGAGTATTGTGAATTAGATTTGACAATATTTTACGTGGTAGAGCCATGCTGCAGCTATATTAATAGTATTGTTTTAGCACGAATGGTTCGGCTCGACCATGGAAGGGCCATGCTCTCACAGAATACCAGCGTAAAATAGCAGCTTGATACTGCTGTGTTTTGTATGGTGAGTGTAGAGAACCGGAGACCCCTTTTACTGAAAAAGACGCATTCTTATCATCTTAGTCCTCATGGGTGACAATGCATCTGAATTTTGATTCGTTGTTGAGGATAGATGTAGATGTCTATGGGTCACAACAACCACTTACCATCAAGTGG